GAACTCAAGCTATCCTCCTGTCTCGGACTCCCAGAATGCTAGGATTATAGGTGTGAACCACTGCACCCGGCCAGGAATTGTTCTTTCTAAGAAATATACATTTGCTAAAACTATGCTGTAAAGACTTGTACTTAAATAAGTCATAAAAATTGGCCGGGCGCTGTGGCTCACGCCTATAATCCTAGCTCTTGGGAGGCCGAGGCGGGCGGATTGCTCGAGGTCAGGAGTTCAAAACCAGCCTGAGCGAGACCCCGTCTCTACTATAAATAGAAAGAAATTAATTGGCCAACTGATATATATATATAAAAAAATTAGCCGGGCATGGTGGCGCATGCCTGTAGTCCCAGCTACCCGGGAGGCTGAGGCAGAAGGATCACTCGAGCCCAGGAGTTTGAGGTTGCTGTGAGCTAGGCTGACGCCACGGCACTCACTCTAGCCTGGGCAACAAAGTGAGACTCTGTCTCAAAAAAAAAAAAAAAAAAAAAAAAAAAATTATTCTTGACCAGGTGCAGTGGCTCACACCTGTAATCCTAGCACTTTGGAAGGCCAAGGTGGGAGGATTGGTTGAAGCCAGGAGTTCAAGACCAGCCTGAGCAAGAGCAAGACACCCATCTCTACAAAAAACTGAAAAATTAGCTGGGTATGGTGGCGCATGCCTAAAGTCCCAGCTACTTGGGATGCTAAGACAGAAGGATCGCTTGAGCCTAGGAATCGAGGTTGTAGTAAGCTATGATGACACCACTGTGCTCTAGCCAGGGTGATAGCAAGACCCTGTCTCAAAAAAAAAAAAAAAAAGGTAAAACAATTATTCTTAAAGTTATTAGGAATTTCCATATAAGAAATAAAAGTCTGCTGAGAGTATTTAAATTTTGACTACAACCACAGAAATCACCTAGCATTTGTAAAATCCTTAAAGATTTTATGGCACTTCATGATTTGTTAACTTGACAGTGACATTCTACATTTTCTTGGAAAAGCAGCCTTTTCTTAACTTGAGAACTTAGGTTTTCCATTATATTAGATCAATTTTAACAATTCAGAGGCCAAAAAACTAGCCAAGAAACTACACAGGGGTAGCATTCAACACCCTTCATCCAAGTTACTATGTTTTTTGTAGTCTACTGATGTTTTTTATATGAGGAATTTCAAATATACATGAAAATGAACAGTAATGAACACCTGGTTACAACAATTAACTCAAGGCTACCCTCATTTCATCTTTACTCCTGCATCTTCCCTTTGCCCAATGCTGGATTGACTACAGTCAGCTAATATTTTAACCAAAGCATAATAATCTAATTTTTTAAAACCCCATTTTTATGAAAAAATTTAAACTTATACAAAAGTAGAATAATATAATGAGTCCCTATGGACTCATCTGCTAGCTTCCACAATTATCAACCCAGAATCAATCTTGTTACACAAAAAAACCTTTCCCTACTAGATTATTTTGACAGACATCCATCTTTTCATCTATAGATAACTGAGTATGTACCTCTAAAAGATAAAAATTTAAAAAAATATCTTGATACCATTATCATTCCAAAGAAGTTAACAAATCCTTAATCAAATATCTATTCTGATCATTGTTTTTTAAAAAATCCTTTTTTTTTTTTTTTGAGACAGAGTCTCACTTTGTTGCTCAGGTTAAAGTGCCGTGGCATCAGCCAAGCTCACAGCAATCTTAAACTCCTGGGCTCAAGCAATCCTCCTGCCTTAGCCTCCCAAGTAGCTGGGACTACGGGGATGTGCCACCATGCCCCGCTAATTTTTTCTATATCTATTAGTTGGCCAATTAATTTCTTTCTATTTATAGTAGAGACGGGTCTCGCTCTTACTCAGGCTGGTTTTGAACTCCTGACCTCGAGCAATCCACCCACCTCAGCCTCCCAGAGTGCTAGGATTAGAGGCGTGAGCCACTGCCCCTGGCCTTAAAAAATCCTTTTATTTTTTCCTGACCAAAGCCAAGGCCAACATGTTTGTTTTTAATTAAGGATGTGGTTTACTGATGAACTGTTACATAGAGTTGGTTTGTTTTCATAACTTCATGTAAAAATAGTTTAACTTAAGATGAACAAGATTAAGTCCCAGGCATTTGCAGTAGAGGGGTAGAGGGAAGCGGTGGGAAGACTTGGGTTCTGGACATAGCTCTGGCCCATTACTAGCCATATAACTGAGAGCAAATCAGTTCCCCTCTGAGCTGCAGTTCTTTCATCTATATAGGACTAATATCTCTGCTTTGTTTATCTCACAATGTTAGCATAAGAATAAAGTTAAAATGTGTGTGCAAGTTCTTTGAAAATGTTATTCAAATATAAGAAATACTATACTAAACCAGTCTTTAGAACCTTAAAATAGTAAGTTTTCCATAGTGTAATGCACTGCCCTGTGAAACAATACAACTGGCACTGTCGTTTTAAGGATCTTGAACTCTGAAGATCAAGGATTTTTTTTTTTTTGAGACAGAGTCTCACTTTGTTGCCCAGGCTAGAGTGAGTGCCGTGGCATCAGCCTGGCTCATAGCAACCTCAATCTCCGGGGCTCAGTGATCCTACTGCCTCAGCCTCCCAAGTAGCTGGGACTACAGGCATGTGCCACCATGCCCGGCTAATTTTTTGTATATATATTTTTAGTTGGTCAATTAATTTCTTTCTATTTTTGGTAGAGACGGGGTCTCACTCAGGCTGGTTTCGAACTCCTGACCTTGATCGATCCGCCTGCCTCGGCCTCCCAAAGTGCTAGGATTACAGGCGTGAGCCACCACGCTCGGGCAGATCAAGGATTTTTTTTTAAAACACAAATACAATTATCCTCCAATTTTCTTCATTCTTTGTCTCAACATAGAGCCAAATTCACTACCAAAATAATATTAATACCAGTCTCTTAGGAAAAATCCTGCTGACATCTAATATTTGTTCACATGAAATGTAATTCTTGGGATCCTTAAGATTTGGGCAAAATCCCTGTCACCTCTCAGGACCTTGGGCAAAAAATCAGGGAAATAAAGTGACTGACTTAGCCTAAAGCCACATTCTGAAATACATTCTCACTTTCCAACTTTAAGAAACACACTTCCACAATTTTGAGAGCCAGAAGGAAACTAATCTTCCTCTCTTTTTCTCAAATTACACAAATGGAAATTAATTTAGACACTTTGGAACTCATCCAGCTGGTCAGCCAGTGGAGAGAAAACAGGAAGTGGCAGATTCAAGCTTAGCTGGACTACATCCAGGTCTTCATAAAGAACTATCTCTCTTTGGTTGACATGTGAAAATTCTTTCAGCATGAGCATTAATCTTAAACTTGTGGAAACACGGAAGCTATGGTTTACTCCATCTGCCCCTTAAGGTTTAAAGCCAGTATAGTCTGGTAGCTGGGGCCTAGGCATTCAGCTTTCATAACTGGCATTATTATAATAAGTTCATGCCACTGACTCACCTACCCTTGGCACAAGTCAGCTTTTCCTCTACCTCGATTTTTTTTTCAGCCTCACGAAAAAGAAATCCTTTAATGAAGTAAAACCTGGCAACCTGAGCTTTGATTACTGTCTCCATCAGAGGCCTGTACAAGTCAAACTATCCAAGCTTTAAAATGTGGGACCTGATAGCTGGGTGTTTGACAAAAAGGAAAAATGGTGATTTCCCAATACCGAAGATCTCTGACCAAGGAGATCTCTTTAAGAGGGTCTCAAAGAGGGTTATGTGGATGAGGACAATGAGTGGGTAGTGTCATTTTTTTTATTTGCAGACTTCATCTCAGTCTTCCAGCTCTCGTTTCCTATTAACCCATGTCCCCAAAACAGTGTCACCACCCCATGAAGACTCTCTCTGATTTCCTTGCCCCGGCCCTCTGTACTGGGGAGTCTTGGCCTTCCATTAGCAGAAGCCGGGCGCTCTGAATCAGCGACCCCGCCATCTCTCCGGCGCTCTCCACCCCCTCGGTCCCTCAGAACACAAACGGGTCTCTCATCCAGTCACTAAAAAGATCCGCTGGCCCCGGACACGGAAAAAGTCGCCCCTCTTCTTTGCAGGATTTCTCTCTTGAACTTCCCCAAGCCCTCTTAGAGCGACGTGACCCCAGCTCTAGTTAACCGCCGCGGCTTCCTTACCAGCTTCCCGCCCCGGGGGGGCGCCTGCCGGAGGCCGCTGCAAGGACAGCTCGCTGCCAGCTCCGCCGCTAACCCTTCGGGGTAAATCTAACATGGCGGATAGAGACAGGGCCTAGTCCACTGTTTCCTCTGAGTTTCCGACAAGATGATTGGCTCTTACCACTTGTCACTCAAAACTACCATCCCGTTGATTGGTCGAGACTGCGTCGGCGGGTGGGGCAGAAACAACCTGAACCCGCAAAACAATAACAAACACAGGAGCAGAGGGGCGGATCTACGAGTGCGCAGACGTGGGCCGGAGAGGATTTCCCCTTCCTAGGCAAATGCCGTGCCCTCTGCGTTCCCTCAGGTCACTGACCTTGGAGGATTACTTGCCCGAAGATCGCAGGGTTGGATGGGAAATGTAGTTTTCCTAGGACTTGTAGGTTTTTTTAACCTATTCTCCGCTCTCAAGATACGAGGACATAACAGTCCAATCCACAGCTGTTGAAATGCATAACCGCAGGAGGTCTCCAATCTGTCAACTAGCTTTCCGTGAGAATTATGCCCACTTCCGGTATTGGAAGCGGCTCTCCATAAGACTACAGTTTCGAAGGCCTTTCGTTCCGCAATGCATGCTGGAAATCGTAGTTTCCCCCCCAACAATCCTTTTATTTACCTAAACTGGAGACGTCCATTGCGGCGGAAAGAGGGAGGGAATGGGGGGGCCTCTTCTTACGACTGCTTTGGGCACTATCTTGCGCTCATATTCGGGCCTCAGGTAGCGATTTTGACCCTCGCACAGCAATTACTGTGACGTAATAAGCCGCAACTGGAAGCGTAGGGGCGAGGGGGCGGGAGCTTAATAGCAAACTCAGGTCGAATTCTTTCTCTTCCGTCTGTTCCTAATTACGTCATGCAGGAACAAAATGCCAATGACCAATCCAGAGCCCTGAGAGACTCTCGGCTCTTTCTGTCCCGCCCTTCCGTAACGTGTCTTGATCTGGTATTCTGAAAGGCTATCGCTCGGCGTCAGCGGTCGGTTTCCGTGGCGACAGGAAAGCGCGGGAATTACAGATAAATTGAAACTGCGACTGCGCGGCTTAGCTCGCTGAAACGTTCTGGACCAAGGACAGTCCGGGGGGCCTGTTGGATACTGGGCCCCGGGGCCCAGGAGCCCGGACACATTGCTCTGGGTAAAGGTTGTAGAATCCCGGGGAACGGAGAGGGGCCCAAAGGCCTTTCCGGGCGACAGGCAGGAAACAGGTATGGGGACAGTGGACTCCTGAAAGAGAGCAAGATGGTGTTTATTGGGCTAGGGGATGAAACTTGAGGGGCCTACGACGTTAAAAACCTGGGGGTAGTTTGTGGGTCGCAAGGGAGCAAGGTAAGGAAGGGGGCATGGTGTGTCTGAGGGGGAATCTTGGCAGCAGGAACTAGAATATGCCTTGAGGGGAACACTATGAGTATACGGGCTGGTTGGTATACGAGAGGAGGAGACCTTGAGGAGGAAGAGGGAGCGGGGAAGGGGAGGAGATAGGATTTTGTGGGAGGAAGGACCCTAGGAAATGGATCCAGGCCCGGCGCGGTGGCTCATGCCTGTAATCCTAGCCCCGTGCGAGGCCGAGGCGAGAGGAGTTGCTTTAGCTCAGGAGTTCAAGAGCAGCCTGAGCAAGAGTGAGACCTCCGTCTCTACTAAAAATAAAATTAGCCGGGTGTGGTGGTGCTTGCCTGTAGTCCCAGCTACTCGGGAGGCTGAGGCAAGAAGATTGCTTAGGCCTAGAGTTTGAGGTTGCTATGAGCTAGGCTGATACCTAGCTCAGGCACTCTAGCTCAGGCGACAGAGTGAGACTCTGTCTCAAAAAACAAAAACAAAAAACTGGATCCATACACATTTCTGAGCAAGAACAAGAAACACGTAGAGGGGCTTTGGTAGTAATGTCCTGCGGGCAAGCATGTGCTTGAGAAGGATCCTGAGATGAGTACAGGTCACTGGAGAAGGGAAGGGTGGGAAAGCATTGGTTAGTGTTGGTTTTGTCCTTGTTGGTTTTGGTTTTAAGCAAGAAATAGAAAACCTCCCAGATGATTGGAGAAAGCTGAGGCTACTAACACCCACCTGGTTAGTCACTCCACTGTGGCTTTCCCTTCTTCCAAGAAGGGAAAGACCCAAAAAGGAAGAGCTTGGAAGTTATATGTGAAAAAATAGGAAATTCAACTTGTTTAATTACAAAAAGCAACTTCTAGAATTTTTAAAAATAAAGGCTATTGGGCTATTGTTAGTTAGTTCTGTGGTTGGTATAATTCTAAAAGGCTTCATTCTTAAGTTTCTCTTATTTAAAAGTGATAATAAAATTAAGCTGTCATTTTTAGAAACCTAAGTGGTATTTAAATATATATATTTATGTTTTTTATATGTATTTAAGTTCATCAGAACAGAAAAATGGATTTATCTGCAGTTCCCGTTCAAGAAGTACAAAATGTCCTTAATGCTATGCAGAAAATCTTAGAGTGCCCAATCTGGTAAGTCAACAGAGGAGTTTATTGATTTGGGATTCTTCCTCATATGATTATTTCCTATGCAAATGAATAGAATTGACCTTACATAGTAGGCAGAAAAAATATATCTATTAAGATCAGACTATGACCGGCCTGTAATCCTAGCACTTTGGGAGGCTGAGGCGGGAGGAACGCTCAAGGTCAGGAGTTTGAAACCAGCCTGAGCAAGAGCAAGACCCCATCTGTACTAAAAATAGAAAGAAATTAATTAGCCAACTAAAAATATATAGAAAAAAATTAGCCAGGCATGGTGGCGCATGCCTGTAGTCCCAGCTACTTGGGAGGTGAGGCAGGATTGCTTGAGCCCAGGAGTTTGAGGTTGTTGTGAGGTAGGCTGATGCCATGGCACTCTAGCCAGGGCAACAGTGAGACTCTGGACTAAAAAAAAAAAAAAGACCAGACTATTAGAATTGCTTTTTTTCTTAACTGAAGTGCTTTAAAAATATAGAAAATTACTCTTTTTTCTCCATTCTGCCTCTCTCCCTCTTCAACACACACATTCGGGGCAGGGAATCTGGTTTGGATTAAGTGGCATTTGGGCTTTTTTCCAGGTCTAAAACCAGCTTGAGCATTTGGAATGGCAAAATAAAATCACCAAGGATTCATGTCTGTGAGGGGATAAGTCTTTGGGAGTACATTTATTTTTTTTTTATTTTTTTTTTTTTATTTTTTTTTAACACAACATACATCTGTTAAAATGGGAGTACATTTAAATAAGAATCCTGCAGGTGATTAAAGTCTTTAGCAAGTCTGATTCTGACTTTTGTTTTTCTCTATCTGTGAAATGAAGAAGAACCTGGATGATTCAAGTTTTTTTTTTTTAATTGATGTATAACTTACAGTGGAATACAGAGATCTTAACTGTGCAAGTCAATGAATTTTGACAAATGATTATATCTGTGTAACCCAATCCCTAATCAAGATATAGAACATTTCCATTACCCCAGAAGGTTCCCTTGTGTATATTCAGGAGTTCTTAACTTGCAGACCCTTCAGGACCCTTGGAAGCCTATAGATAGAACTGTATTTCAATATAATTACTTGTTTGTGAAATTTTTTCCTTTATGCATTTAAGAGCATTACTTTGAAAAGGGGATCTATGGCACAACAAAGGTTAAGAACCCAAAGCAGTCATTAAATGATCTCTAAAGTTTCTCTTAAATCTATAAAAGAAATGAAAAGTCATATATGAGAATCTCTTGGTAAAAAGCCAGAAAGGAAAATTAGAAGAAGTATTGCCTACCCTTTCCTGTCTTACTATCCTCTCTACTCTAGTCATTCTGGCCTTTTTAACGGTTCTTCAGACATGTGACATAGTCTCTTGTCTCTGAGCTATTACACTTGCTGTTCCCTCTGCCTGGAATGTTATTCCCCTGATAATTGCATGGCTTGAAAATCTTGATTGAAATACCACCCTTTCAAAGAGTCATTTCTATATAAAACTGCAACACCCAACATAGTCCTTATCCCTTTCCTGCTTTGTTTTTCTCCAGAATACTTATTACTCTCTGACATTTTATATAATTTATTCATCCTTTATCTTTATCCCCCACAAAATATAAACTCCATAAGGGCAGAAGTGTTTGATGGTTTATATACTTCTGTGTCTTCCGCAATTAGAAGATTACTTGGGACATAGTAGCCGTTCAATAAACATTTATTGATTGAATTAAAGAATAAACAAGGCCAAGCGCCAGTGGCTCACACCTGTAATACTAGCGCTCTGGGAGGCCAAGGTGAGGGAATTGCTTGAGCTCAGGAGTTCGAGGCCAGCCTGAGCAAGAGCGAGGCCCCCATCTCTAGTAAAAATAGAAAAAATTAGCTAAGTGTCCTGGCATGTGCCTGTAGTCTCAGCTACTGGGGAGGCTGAGGCAGGAGTATCACTTCAGCCCAGGAGTTTGAGGTTGCAGTGAGCTTGATGACACCATTGCACTCTACTGAGGCTATAGAGTGAGACTCCATCTCAAAATAAATAAACTAAATTGAGTAGCCACTCAGTAAACATTTGTTGAATGAATTAAATAATAAACTGAGTTGGTTCTTTGATAGTTTAATTTTTTTAAATATAGTGATGGTTAGTGGTGGGTAACATTCAAAAAATAAATTGAGGCCGGGCGAGGTGGCTCACGCCTGTAATGCTAGCTCTCTGGGAGGCCGAGGCGGGCGGATCGTTTGAGTTCAGGAGTTCGAAACCAACCTGAGCAAGGGCGAGACCCCGTCTCTACTATAAAGAGAAAGAAATTAATTGGCCAACTAATATATATACAAAAAATTAGCTGGGGATGGTGGTGCATGCCTGTAGTCCCAGCTACTCGGGAGGCTGAGGCAGCAGGATCGCTTGAGCCCAGGAGTTTGAGGTTGCTGTGAGCTAGGCTGATGCCACGGCACTCACTCTAGCCTGGGCAACAAAGTGAGACTGTCTCAAAAAACAAAAAAGAACAGAAAATATAAACTGTTTAAAAAAAAAAAAAAAAAAAAAAATTGAAAAGTTACACCTATTTCCCCTTACCTTCAATAAAGGAAGTTAAATTTAAGTAAATTTTCCTTTGTGCTTCATGAAAATTGTTTTTCATATTTGGAGTCAATAACATTAAGGAAAATGCAAGTTGTGTTTTCAGAGATATAAGATTTATAAATAATCATCTCCCTTGCCCTTCAATATTTTAGCTAAAGAAAAATAAGAGCAAAACAAGATTTACAGCCTAATTTATGAAATATCAGAGCCAGGGAAACAGGAAATGATATTGTGAAAAAAAATTGCTGTTGAAAAAGCAAAAAACTTAAGATAATTATAGGGATCAAGAAATCCTCAATAGCTGGGCACAGTGGTTCATGCCTAAAATCCAGCACTTTGGGAGGCTAAGAAGGGAAGATTGCTTGAGCCCAGGTGTTCAAGACCAGCCTGGGCAACATATTGAGACTCCATCCCTATAGAAAGAAAAAAATCCTCAATAGTGTTGCATTTGAGTCCTTTTTGTTTTTTTTTGAGTCAGAGTCTCACCCTGTTGCCCAGGCTAGAGTGCTGTGGCGTCAGCCTAGCTCACAGCAACCTCAAACTCCTAGGCTCAAGCAATCCTAATGCCTCAGCCTCCGGAGTAGCTGGGACTACAGGCATGTGCCACCATGCCCGGATAATTTTTTTTTTTTTTAATATATGGTTGGCCAATTAATTTCTTTCTATTTATAGTAGAGACCGGGTCTCGCTCTTGCTTAGGCTGGTTTCGAACTCCTGACCTGGAGCAATCCGCCCGCCTTGGCCTCCCAGAGTGCTAGGATTATAGGCATGAGCCACCGTGCTTGGCCTTGGATCCATTTTTTTTTTAACATTTCTGTGAGACTCAATCTTAAAAATATAATATTCTTTCTTATTCTGTCAAATTAAACCAGTTTAAAAACTCAGATACATAAAAATTAAAAATCCAAGAATGAAAGTTAATGTTAAATTTTTATTTTCAATCAACTATTGTATATTTTCTAGCTTATTGTTTTTCCTCTTCTGTTAGAAATAGATAAATTTTTAATAGTTTTTAAACTCATTTTTATAGGAAGTTCTAGGATGGGGATCATACCAACTTCACTTCCTTTTTTTTAACAGTGTCCAGAATAGCACAACTTGCAGTTACGTCTTAATACTGTGATTTTTGATTGTGACTGGAAATAGTGGTACTTGTGGTAGCCACAGAGTAGGTTTTAGGTCTCCTGAACTGGTCTCTTCATTTTACTGGTCTCTAAGTGACTATGGCAGTTATTTATGATGACCGATAGTTCTTTCTAACCTTTTCCATATGACTATATGAAATTTTTGACTTTCAGAAGAGTTCGATAAAATGTGTACCCTGCTGGGTTGTTTTTCAGACCTAAACCTAGCTTCTTTTTCAGTCATTTACTCAAGTTGGAAGCTCAAAATACAAATATGCAGTAGGCCCAAAATATTGTCTGGTTTGAAAAGTGTTTAAAATATCTGAATCACTTTTACAGTAAACATTTACTCTCATTGGGACCTAGAAGGGGAACATTTTAATCTTTTTCCTATTCCCTCTTCACACTCTTCCTTCAACAGTCATTACCTTTTTACATATTGGAGTTTTCATCTGTTCAAAGTTTGTGTTTATAGTGTGTTTGTATAGCCTGGATTATAAAATTACCATACTGAAATATAATTATTTCAGAATTGAGTCAGTGGTGAGAATGAAAGCCATCTGGTATCATAGCTAAATCCAATTTTTCTTTTACGGAGAATTTCTTTGATATCTAACTTATCTCAGAAATAGTGACTTAGTAACAAATCAGAGTTTTCTTTGTCAGGGTTGTTTTTCTTTTTAAAGCCATATTTTGTCCCAGTAATAATACCAACATTGGTACAAGTTATCTTAGATTGTGAAGCATCTTCCCAAGTAGCATTTAATTTTATTCTTGCAATAGCCCAAGGAGACTGGCAAAGTGGGTGACAGAAGGAAACTGAGGTTCAGGTGGAGTTGTTGGCCCAAGGTTGCTCTGCTAATAAAGACAACTGGTAGTGGAAACCCAGCCTTCTGACTTAGTCCAGTGTTTTTCCTTTCATTGCCCTGTGCTACGTCAGAAACCCCATGATTAGAAGAGTTATATTACCAAACCCTTCACAATAAGTCTGTTGTCCCCCAGCTTTTCTTGTGATCTTTTCTAAAAAGTTAAATGTTTAATGAAAAGAACTGCATTTCTGTCACACTACCAGGTTACCTATTCTTTGATGTCCTGCCTGAACTTTACCAAAAATCAGTTTTGTAAGCTTGCATTCAGAATAAAGCCAAAGACTTAAAAATAGCCTCTGGGTTGTTACCTGCTCAGTCTCCCAGTTACCTCTCTGATGTCTTCCTACTACACCCCCCCCCCCCATCTTAGCACCCTGGCCTACCTGCTATCCTGTAGGCATGATCCTACTCAGGGTTTGTCTTCCCTGCTCCCTCTGCTGGGATGCTCTTTCCCCA